AAGACTCCTAGTGGCCTCTCCCTTGTGTCATTTAAGGGAGCATCTGACCCAGTCCTAACTCCCAAGAGGGAAGAAATGCCAGGCTGGGGAGAGGCGTGTGGTAGAGTCAGGAAGCACTGGACCCAAGTCACCTCTGGCTATTGAACCAGTCACATCACGCCTCTGAGTCCCCATTTCCTTTCTATGGGGTGACAATAAAATCATTTCAGCCCTAACCTTACAGGGCTGTCCTAAAGGCCCAAAGAAGAAAATGTACAATAAAGCCTTTTGAAATCTGTGAACTGCTGCCCCAGGAGCCCCTTCTTACTTGGCTAGATGTGCAATTTCAGACTCAATGTGTCTCAGCATATATATATATATAGCATCGACCCAGGAATCAAGGAGGTCACAGTTCAATTCCTGGTCAGGGCACATACCTGGATTGCAGGCTCGATCCCCAGTAGAGGGTGTGCAGGAGGCAGCCAACATCACCAATGTTTCTCTCTCCCCCTTTCCCCTCCTCTCTGAAATCAATTAAAAATATATTTATTTATTGATTTAAAATAATCAATTAGAGGCACAAAATTCATGCAAGGGTCCTGGCCCTCACAGCCCCGGCTACATCCAGAAGGTCATCTGGCTGTCCAGTCTAATGTTTTTTAAAATATATATTTTTTTATTGATTTCAGAGAGGAAGGGAGAGGGAGAGATTGAAACATCCACGATAAGAGAGGATCATGGATTGGTTGCCTCCTGCACACCTCGTACTGGGGATCGAGCCCGAATCCCGGGCATGTGCCCTTGACCGTAATCTGTCATTTAAGGGAGCATCTGACCCAGTCCTAACTCCCAAGAGGGAAGAAATGCCAGGCTGGGGAGAGGCGTGTGGTAGAGTCAGGAAGCACTGGACCCAAGTCACCTCTGGCTATTGAACCAGTCACATCACGCCTCTGAGTCCCCATTTCCTTTCTATGGGGTGACAATAAAATCATTTCAGCCCTAACCTGACAGGGCTGTCCTAAAGGCCCAAAGAAGAAAATGTACAATAAAGCCTTTTGAAATCTGTGAACTGCTGCCCCAGGAGCCCCTTCTTACTTGGCTAGATGTGCAATTTCAGACTCAATGTGTCTCAGCATATATATATATATATAAAGTCACTTATTAGTAATGTCAAAAATATTCAAGGACTTCTAGCTCTGGACTCATCTGGGGACGGTGGGCATGGGACTGGCCTTAAACAGGGCAGCGGGTCTGGGTCTGGGCCTCAGGGTTAGCTGAAGCAGGGCTCTAACCCCAGTGACATCACAGTCTCAGTCATCTCAGGCGAATCACCCCTCTGAGCCTCATGTGCTCGTCTGCAAAATGGAGAGAATGTAATCTCTTCCTTGTGGGTCTGTGCCATTAACAACCCAGACGTGGCATACACTGAAAACAAACAAACGAAACCTCAGAGAGAGGGAGCTGTTGGTGGTAGTAGTACTAGCAGCAGCAGCAGCCCCAGCCCCGGCAACGCTAATGTAAACAAGGAGAGGATATACAGCACAGTAGCTCTAAGGGTGTGTTGGTGGGGGGTGGGGGTGGGGGTGGGCACTACATGGATCCCTGTGGGTGCAGGGAGCAGGCGGGCAGGGAGGACTGCAGCAGGGCTGCCACGTGACCGGAGAGGCCATAGACCGGCGGAGAATGGCACCAAGAGGCAGGGGAGACAGCTTACTTACTTGCTTCCAGAAGTCTATCTCACCTCCTTCCCCCCGATTCTTGGCTGCCTC